CACGACGCTAGACTCTGCTCAAGTGTAGTAATTTCCATGCTCCAGCAGACTCAGTTATTCAAGTCCGCTCCGATGCACTGGAAATCCAAGGTGTTGGAGCAGGCTCTCTGCGCATGTATAGAAGCCCCTAGTTTAGTACTTGCTAAATAAAGTACTAACTAAATGTGCAGTACTGAGAGTTACTTGCACAGTACTGTCAGTGCACAGTTTAGTGACGCTTCATGCTCATTAGCCTAATAACACTATGCACTAGGCTATTAGCATAGTTTTTGCCACGACACACTACTGTGCAGTGTTATTAGGCTAATGATCAGTAAGTGTCTCAAGTAGATGCATCCACTGAAACATGTTTAAAATAAACTTGCAGGAGAACAGAAGGACATTTTATATGTGTTCTAATAATTGTAAAATCTGGGATTTAATGAGTGAAATATTATGAATACGGGGTAGCTTACAATTCTCATCTTTGAGTGACAGCATGACAAACCACTGAATTCTCCCTGCCATTCAAATCAAACAAGTTTTGCTAACATGCAGCTTGAAGAACAAAAAAATATGCAGTATCATTGCAACAAGCTGTAACTATATATATTTGTTTTATCCTTAAAAAGTCTTTAAAATAGATTATGTCATTCAGTTTTGTAAAAGCTTATTTAATATTAGTAACCCAAGCAAGCATCGTGAGAAGGACAGGATTACTTTATGGAAGAAGCAAGCGTTTTGTAATATATATTTGTTGGACCAACTGTATAGTTGGTAGAGATGTTAGACAAGCTTTTGGGCACAAACATCTCTACCAACTATACAGCTGTTTCAGTATAAGATATCACCAATTAAACCCTTGTTCTTTTAATATTTCCTGGACCATCATCACCTACAACAACACTCCGATCCTACTATAGGAATATTTTAGATTTTCCTTAGTAACAGTAGTTGATAAAATATCTTCCTGACACCTTTCAAATGAATTCTTTTCTTTTCCTATAGGGTGATGTGAGGGATTATGATGCAGTGTTCAAGGCTTGTGAAGGGGTTGACTGTGTTTTTCATTCAGCTTCATTTGGAATGTCAGGACTGGAGCAAGCGAGTACAATTTTCATATTGTTTTTCTCCCTTAACCCTTGTAAGAGCAGCAGCATATTGTGCACATAGAAATGAGTGAAACAACAAAATTAATCAAAAAACACATTCTTGTTCATTTTTTCAAGTAGTTGTGCAAGTCGTAGTTTTTGTTTTTATGGAGGTTTTTTTAGTGAAAAACACATTTTGGATCCAAAAATAAATTTAATTTAAGCTTCTGATAAATGTGATTAGATTAAATTTGGGCAGAACTGATTGGAAGTTTCTTTTATAAAGGTTGAATATTCCAAGCAGAGAATAAGGAGCTATTTATTAAATAGTTCCAAATTGTTAACCCAGTGCATAGACCAAGATAATAATCTTGGCGTATGTATAGACAGCCTGACTCCAGGACTTTGGAAAGGAAGATATCTTCCCTTCTCTCAAGTCTTCAAGGCTAGGGACAGAAATACACACAAGCTGGCATAAGTGATCAGAAACCAGTTCAGATCTGTAACACAACAGAAGTTCCATGCACTTAAACCACTTTCAAAATGACCAAAACTGGTTTAAGAAAAACCTGGGTGGATATAGTATCAGATTTAGCTGATTTAGGTTAAATTGGTTTATTGAACTTCTGTCCCAGATCTCTGCCAGATTCAATTTAACTTACAGTCCCCCAGCATCCCGAGATGCTTTGCACCTTTCCTGCAAGCCCTCCCTCTCAGGGTGGGCAGGCTTGGCCCAGGCTGTCTGCTCCAGCCAAGCAGAGGCATGCTCTAGAGCCCCCTGGCTTCTGGTCTGAGCCACTGCAGGCACGTGGCTTCATTTCCAGAATCAGAGGTGAATGTCTGTTCACTTGCTTATTGATTCAGTCTATGCAGTTTAGACTAACCTGTGAAGATTGAATCAATTTAGCCTTGGGCTTTTTGACTGCCTTTACTTAGCCCAAAAGTATAACCATAGCTCAGCAACAGTTGTTGAAGACTCCAGTCCTGAGAAGTTTTTACCTCCCACTGAGAGACTGGCCAGCGTAACCTAACTAAGATACATAGATAAGTGGTTGATCAAAGCTAAGGCTAATTTTTTGGTGGTAAAATAGGTACTTGGCCAGCCTCAGAATATGGAAAGGCATGTAGGTGGCATAAATCCATCCTCTTTCTCCCATGGTCTTGCCAAGCCTAGCTTGAGCAGGGCGGAAAATTGAGATCTTGCAACCTATTTCCAGGAACATTTTCACTTTCGCTTTATTTTTATCAATTTATTTGTGAATTGTTAGCACAATAAAAAATAAAAGGGGAGTTTACAGGACATTGCTCTGTCTTTGAAAGACAGGGGACAGTGAACTAAATAACAAAGTGGACATGATTGTTTTACTTTGGGGGATTAAAACAGTTATGTGGTGAATGTAAATTGTTAAATTTACAGATACTCTATAAACTCTGTTTTTAGCTACAACATAAAGAAAAGATTGAATCCACAAATGTTGGTGGCACAAAAGTAATCATGGATGGTATGTATAGAGATTTTCTTTCTTTGGACCAAATCCAAACCCAGTTTAATCAATAGAAAGATTTCTGTTTACTTCAGTAAACTTTGGATCAAACCTTTAGTGTAGGAGACAAAAAGCAATGCTTTCATCCTTATTTGCAGAGTAAGAAATTAATCTACGTAAACAAGGGTGGCAGAATGAGGCTCTAATTTAAAACACTTATAGTATACTGAAAACATTTGTTATTATATTTTATGTTGAAAATGAACCTTCTGCATAGGCCTTGTAGTCTGGACAACTGGGATGAAATAATGGATAACACTAAGGGCGTTTATACATGTGCTCTGGAGGGAGCTTTAATTAGAGTAGCTCTTGGTGCCTATATACAAGCAGGGAGGCTGCTCTGATGTGCTGTAATTTCCACGCCCCAGTGCTCTCAGAGCCACTCTAATTAAAGCGCCCAGAGCATCTCGTGTATCAGCATCCCCGTTATTAAAAATGGCGGATGAGGCACTTTGACTAAAGCTTGTCAAATGAGCTTTAGATACATTCCCCCCCCCTCCCCCACCATTTTTGGGTGGTGGGCCACTTAATGGGTTTTGGTGACCTGTCAACAGCCACACCTGTCTCCCTCTTCTTTTTCCCATCCCTCCCTCCCAGGGCAGTGACCAACAGGGAAGCCTGAACCTGCCCGCAGCTTTAGCATACCCCACACCCACCATACCGCTGTGGCGGGAGTCCACCTGCCCACAGCTTTAGCACACACACACACACACACACACACACACACACAGACACCCTCTCCATTTGGGCAGTTGTGGATGCGTCCAGCAGCTGCTGGGTCCAGACTGGGGGGAAGAAGGAGCAAGTATACTACAGCTGTGGGCAGGTTCATGCTTCTGCTTTTGTGCTGGTGTCAGCCCTAGCCCAGAGAGAGAGAGGGAGCACCTGGCATGCCAGAAGCAGCGCCAGCTGCCCAACACCACATGGCTGCTGGATCCAGAGCTGCTGCCTGCCCACAGGCCAGATCCATTTACTTCACAGATGTCCACCCATGGGCTGGATCCATTCACCTGGTGGGTGCCCTCCTATGGGCCGGATCCAATCAGTTGGCAGGCCGGATCTGGCCCTCAGGCCATATTTTGCCCACCTCTGGACTAAACCATCAGCTTCCACATCCTCTGGTGCCCATGAGTTCCATACTTTAATTACACGCTGCATGAAAAAACTTCCTTTTGTTAGTTTTAAACTCACTACCTACTAGTTTCATTTTGCAACCCCTTGTCCTTGTATTGCGAGAGAGAGTAAATAATAAATGGCTATTTACTTTCCCTCCCTTTGCCATTTATCATGTTCCCCCTCAAGCATCTCTTTTCTAAACTGAACAGGCCTAGCCTCTTTAGTCTTGCCTCATATGGAAGCTTTTCATACTGCTAACCATTAAGAGTCTACTCAATTCACAATTCCATGAATTTTGTGGAAACCACAGAATCCGGGATTGTCCACGAAATAAATTAAAAAACTAAAATAAGGGAGAGGGGAAGGAGCTGGTTGGTGAAGTAGCACGAAGGGTAACAGACTGCCGGGGCCTCTCTGTCACTCAGCGCTGAGGGGCAGGGCTGCCAGAGCACATGCGGGAAATATCCTCAGAATTTGCTATTTATGCCATGACCAACCTACAAAAATTGTTTAGTTTCTCCACAATTTAAGTAGACACCTACTAATTATCCTTGTTGCCCTTCTCTGGTTCTTCTCTGTCCTTCTTGAGGTGTGGGGACCAGAACTGGGCACAGTATTCGAGATGTCGACAGACCATGGATTTATAAAAAACCATGTTGGTTCTTTCCATTTTGTTTACAATTTCTTTCTTCATATTTTGTTTGCTTTTTGATGACTGCTGAGCACTGAGCTGATGTTTTTAGCAAGCTGTCCACAGTGACTCCCAGAACTCTTTGCTATATGGTAGCAGCTAATGTAGAGTCCTTCATAGTGTAGGTATAGTTTGGGTTATGCTTGTGCAAGTGAATCACTTCTCTCCATTGAATTTAATCCGCTATTTAGTTGCCTGTTTTCTCAATCATGCCAGAGCCTTCTGTAGTTCTTCACAGTCCACCTTGGTCTTTACCACTTTGAATGATTTTGTTATTGGCAAATTTGGCCACCTCACCACTCACCCCCTTTTCCAGATCATTTATGAATACTTTAAACAGAACTGGTCCCAACACAGATCCCTGGGAGATCTTGCTGTCCTATCCTAAACACTGATGATTTACACTCCCTCTTTGCTTTCTATTTTTAAGTCAATTTGGACCCACAAGTGGGCATTCCCTGTAATCCCATGACTATCAAACTTATTTAAGAGCCTCTGGTGGGGTCCTTGTCAAGTGCTTTTTGGAAGTCCAAATAATTGTGTCAACTAGATCATCCTGATCCATCTGTTAATGACACCTTCAAAGAACTAATGGAGATGATATTATTTTCCTTCCTCACAGAAATGCTGTGAGAGATAAATTATACTAATATATACTATATTTATTATGCAGTCAATGTCAAGTGGAAGGTAGCATGTATGTACAAAGAGTTATTGCACAGTAAGCTATTATTTAGTATTTTAATAAACATATTATTAAACTACATTGTTATATTGTTTTACTAAAATACTAGATCTCTCCTTTCTGTTCCCTGGAAAATTCACACCCAACAAAACTTGATCTTTTTTTCAGTATATTTTGGCTTTTAACAATGCTCTCTGGAAAATGACAATAGACTTCTCTCTGGTACTGTTGGTTCCAGATACAGCATTTCAAAGTATTGTACATATCAAGAGCTAAATTCTTTTATTATGCTTCTGTCCTCTTGATGCTGGCAAGCAGCTCAGACAGAAATGACAATTTTCGCCTGATCTGCCCACAGAAAGTTGTTTATAGCTGTGGCCAAACACAAGTGCATAGCTGTAGACAACTTCAGAAAATGGCTAATCAAATGAAAATCTGACCCCTCATGCAGGTCAGATGAAAACATTTCAAAACAGAGCATCTTCTGTAACTTCTGTTTGCATTGCCTGCCAGCCTGTTGCTGTTTTCAGAAGGGTAGGGGGACAAGGGAGCAGAGAGAGTTCAGTCTGGGAGTTTTTCAGGCCCTACTGGAGGGTGGGGCAGGTGTATTGGAGCCTCCCCAAGGTGGGGGGGGGAAGGCTCCAGTTCACCCACTGCACCCTCCAGCATTGGCCGGGGAACCCCTGGAAAGAGCTCCCTCCACTCCATTTTCCCCCTCCCATTCTGAAAACTTTGCAGCCTCACAGAGAGCAAGGACCATTTCTAGGGGAAATCAGCTGCAGGCTGCAGCCAGCAGGTATATTCCCCTCCCCCCTGGAACCAACAGTGAACTTCTGTTTGTCCCAGGGGCTCACTGTACTCAGAACACTTACTGCAAAGCATTCGCAGTTACAGCAGGAAGCTGCAGTTCTGTCTACACTCCTTCACTATGCACTGATTTTTGTGTCAGCTGTATGAATCCCAGGCTCTGCTGCTGATTGTCTCTACAAGAAGCAGAAAAAATACAAATAAAGAGGCAGGAAGATCACTGTGTACCAAGGAGGCATGCCAAATATTTCCTGCCTTATTCCTTAATAGGATCAACCTCAGAAACCACAAAAAACTTGTCGGGCCATGTGTCCATGGGTTTCAAAATGAACAGAAGTCTGAGAGAGTTGCGTACACCCTACGGCTCCCTGCTTGCTGTGGTTTATCAAGATATACCTTGCCAATAGCCAGAATTTTTCCTCATATATTTGCAGTGTAGTAACTATTTTCACAGTCCCTATCATAATAGCTGCCTTCCTTCTTACTGTTGCAGTAAGGCTATACATTCATAGTCAGTAAGACTATGTAGTAAGACCATGCATGAAACTTACTGTTGAAGTAGGATAGATTATGTATGCATAATAGGTAGACAAGCAATGTCACTCTTATTAGCATAGTTGTTCTATGATTTGGGCTCTTCCTTCCCCGTACACTGTGGGTGCATCTACCCATGCCCCTGATTGTCCAATTGGTACTGCGCAGTGATTTAGTACTTATTTTACCAAGTACTAAGTGACTGTGCAGTATGCACTAGGACTGCACAATCCCAGCAGGACACGGTTACTTTTAGACACTATGGCAACATACCATCGGCATCATGTGCCTGCATGATATTTGCTACTCCTACACCAAAAATTATGTGTGGGAATGTGAGGCCTAGATGGAATATTGGCATCTAAAAGTGGAAAGTCAGTTTGGATTTAGACGATATAAGATTTGAATCACATTTGGCTTAGTTTTTTTTCTGTTTTTATTCCTCTCATATTTTAGCCAAATTCTCACTTCACAACTGCTTGGAAGAGAAAGGTTAGATTAATTCTGTTTTGTCTTTCTCAGCATCTGACAAAGTAGGCTGTTGCCTATGAAAGCTCATGCCTTTCAAAACCACCCAGTCTCTAAGGTACCAACCTGACCTACCTTTTGAAAGATGCCTCTGTCCTCCATAACATTTTGGAAGATGATGTAGGAAGGAAGTCTTTGCCTTTGAGAGTTAAAAAGGCAGCTTTGGCTACCATCACAATTAAGTCCTTATGAGATGGAACTGGGAATAGCTTTATGGGGTGCATCCCTTCAAGTGCACGTGTGGTTTGCAGTGTCGCCACACTGCACACGCTACACGTGTACACATTTATCATACTGCTAATTAGCAGCACAGCAGGGTGGGGTTTAACACCGAGAGATCCCGGTGTAAAAAAAAATGCACCAAAAAAAAAACCAAATTGGTGCGGTACACATGGCTGCAGCGTGTGCTGCCTGAAACCAGAGCCTGGCTGGCCAGAGCCATGTTCCAGCTGCCAGCCAGACTCTGGATTACTGGTGCTGCAGCACTGGGAGGCCCTAGGACCCCAGATAAGGCTGCTGGGGCCAGCCCAGGTGCTGTCCCCAGTCTCTCCTACCCCACCCAGAGCAATCTGCTGTGCGCCAAAGCACACATGGGGGCGCATGCTTGGGGTCAACTAGCAGCAGCACAAATATGTGCTGCTGCTATTTGTCCCCAGAGAACACATGTTCCTGGTCATGGGGACACACCCATGGAGTTTTTTCTGAACAAGCAAGGAGGTGACAACACAGACCAAATGTGCTGAAAGTAACAGTGCTCTCACAGCTGTCAACTGGAAGCTGCAGCTGAAGTACTGCATCCAGTTCTGGGCTCCTCAATTCAAGAAGGATGTCGAGAAGCTTGAGAGTCCAGAGGGGAGCCACACGCATGTTCAGAAGGCAAGAGAATAGGCTTTATGAAGAGAGGCTGAGATCCATGGGACTCTTCAGCCTGGAAAAGCACAGGCTCAGGGGGGGCCTGGTGACTGCCTATAAGTACATAAGGGGTATACATCAGGATCTGGGAGAACATCTGTTCACCAGAGTACCCCAAGGTAAAACAAGGACCAATGGTCATAAACTCATCCAAGACCATTTCAGGCTGGACACAAGAAAAAATTTCTTTACTGTCTGAGCCCCCAAGACTTGGAACAGACTCCCTCCAGAAGTGGTGCAAGTGCCTACCCTGGACTCTTTCAAGAAACGTTTGGATGCTTATTTTGCTGGGATCCTTTGACCCTAGTTGACTTCCTGCCCCTGGGGCAGGTGGGTTGGACTTGATGATCATCAAGGTCCCTTCCAGCCTGAACGTCTATGAATCTATGAAACTTCAAGATTGGGCTAAAGTGACTTTGGCAAGAAGGGTTGCTATCCACACTAATAACCACACCGAAAAAAGAAGATCATTTATAATTCTGTTTGATCACATCAGAAATGCGTATTTCAATTTATTTCATTTACCCCGAACACAAAATTAAAATTTGTATGATGTTTCTGAAATACAGCATGGCTTTTGAGTTTCTTCAACGTGTCTCCTCAGTAGTTCTCTTCTCCATTTGTTGACTGCAATTTAGTGGCAATATGAACATCATGTATATGTAGGCTTAGCAGAATTCAGTTTTTTTTAAATAGTTTTGATGGATAATATTGATATTTATTTTTAAGCATTTTATTTCAATTTTTATCGATTTACATTTTCAAGAGTGTGCGAAATTAAGGGTGTAGGGGCAGACAATTTATTAATGGCAAACTTTGCTTCTATAGGGCTGCTGTCAGCTGCATGGCAGAACTGCCATCAGTCCCAGCTTTGCTTGCCCATAGTTTCCTTGTCCACTTTGTCACCTCTTCTTCCTTTGTTCCCAGTCCCCTGGGGTTTCTGGGAGTTGCAATTCAACCTACAGTCAGCATGGTTCTGTACTGCTCTCCCTTTCATTACACAATCCATGAGCCATCATTTTTCTTATGTCCCCTTTCTACAAATTTTGATTATTAACAATGGAAATATTTTTTGCTGAGCTCTGAGTGTGAGGTGAAATCGACATTTATGAACATTTACCAATACAACTAGAATTCTGCCAAGCCTATGTATATGCAGGTTGTAAAGCACATAGTCATGACTAGCATTTTATGACATATGTTGGGGGTGAGGAAATGCCATCTGAATGAAAGGAAATTATGTTAATAATGCTAAAAGTTAGGCTGTCTTTTTTATAAACGCTGGAGTTACTTTTAATACAAAAATTCTCATTGTCAATTCATTTATTTTCCTAATCTTCTCTATTTCAAATAAATTATTTTGTATATTATTACAGTTTGCAAGCAAAGAAGTATTCCAAGGCTGGTATATACCAGTACAGTGAATGTGGTGTTTGGGGGTAGTCCCATTGAAGAAGGAGATGAGGAAACAGTACCATATTTTCCACTAGAAAAGGTACTTTTCCTATGTAATTGATCTTGTCAGCTTTATCTGTAGAAAAGCATTTTTGTCCAGCTTCATTAAATTGGATTTATTGCATCTTAAGAGGCACTTATATGGAGAATGTTTGTTTCTATAGGTCCATTTTTGCGTAGCTGTTGTTCTTGATACCAGAACTCTGTTGTGAGATTATTTTCACGGGTGGAGTATGTTTAATAAAAAGATGCTCATAAGCAGATCTGGGGTCTTGGAAAAAGTAAAAATAATGTTAAGTTAAAAGTGGACTTTGAACTTCAACGAGAAGATTCTTTACTGTACGGGCTGTCAGTTCTAATTCCTTGACTCCCGCCTCCTTTAGACTCAAGGCACCCCCACCATTACTTTTCTCAATTTAGTGGCACACCGTTTTAAAAAATAATGCATTTACCATACATAAAAATAATATGACTGGAAGCACACTTTAAATAAGCTGGGAAAATGTCGCAGAGCACTGAGGTGCCCTGCTTCTAGAGAGGGGAAACTGCCAGGGAAAAAGCCCTGGCAGGGAATAAGGAGCACAGCTGTGGGTTGCCAGGAGGTCAGCTGACCGGAAGGGGCAGGGCCTGGCCCTCATAAAGCCCAGGGGCTGAGGCCAGGCTAGCAGTTCCTTGCTAGCAGCCAGAGAAGCAGGAGCTCCCGAAGTAAAGAGGCGAGAAGCAGCCTGACCGCAGGTACAGCTTCAGCTGAGTAAGGATGGCAGGTCTGAGATGTTGGAGCAATGTTGTTATAGCCAGGTGGCTTATGGTTAAGTTGTAGCCAAGAGGCTTATGTTTTGCTTTGTTGTTACACCGGTGGTTTGGGTGAGGCTATCAGGGGTTGGAGGAGGCTTCATAGGGACCCACAGTGGTGTGGGGGCCCCAGCGCCAGTGAGGGCACAGCATCCTTATAAGGAACCCACAGCGGCATGGGGATCCCAGCGCCAGTAAGGGCATGGTGTACAGGGTGCATAGACCCCAGCCCCAGAGAGGGAAGGTTGAGAAGCTCCAGTGCGGGCGTGGCGAGCACCAGAGAGGGGGTACTACTGAGAAGCCCCAGTGCGGGCGTGGTGAGCCCCTGAGGAAGGGCGTAGCATTGTGGTAAACCCCGGAGAGAGGGGATAGTAGTGCGGTGAGCCCCGGAGAAAGGGGGTAGCAGTGCGGTGGGCCCGAGAGACAGGCGGCTTGACCGAGAAGTCCCAGAGTGGGCACAGAAGGCCCCTGGAGGGGGGCGGCTTTACCAAGAAGGCCCCCGGAGGGGGGTGGCTTTACGGGGAAGGCCCAGTGTCGGCACAGAGAGCCCCAGGAAAGGGGCGGCATTAGAGAGAGAGCCCCAAGAGAGGGGGCGGTATTCTTGAGAAGGCCCAGAGTGGGCACGGAGAGCCATAAGAGAGGGCGGCAGTACAGAGAAGGCCCGGAGAGAGGGGCATGAGAGTAGACCGAGAGACCGAACAACGTCTAGTCCAACTGCGAGGCTTGGGGCGTGGTATAAGGGGTGGCTGGAGCCACGCATAGCCCATAAGGCTAGGGTGCCCCAGGGCACCCATTTGCAGGACAAGACCCCCAAGGGCCCCGGGAGTCCAAGGGCACAGAGGTCACAACGAACCGTGTCCAAGAAGACGTAAGGCAGCCTCCCAACCTTATCTAAACAGAAAAGACATGGTGGGTGAGAATCAGATGGTGCCCTTGGGCCAACTTGGCACGGAGGCAGGGGCCTTAAGGAGATCATGGCCCTCCTGGAGGACCCCCGCCCATGACAGAAAACATACACATTAATAGCCATAATATTATAATAGTATAAGACACTTGAGCCTGTGGCAGGGCCAAGTTGGAGGCAGCTTTGGCACAACTGAGTTGAAGAGCTGGCCAAGAGAGGAAACAGGGCATGAGCCAGTGCCCACTGCTCTGGGTGAAACCCAGGGAGGCTCCGCTGTTGCACTTAAGTGGGTTTTTAAACCTAGTGCTTTAAGAATTTATAGCGTCAACGCATTTTTCCTTGATGGTTAGCTAGTTAAAGTCTAAACAAAACAGGGAGGAAAAGGATGACCATCATATTACAATTGTTAAGTTGCCTTACTCCTGTTTTTGGATTTGTCTAGGTGTGAAGACTTGTGTTTCTTGCAGCTATTGACTAGCTCAGCAATTAAATGTGATGGGCCGTGAGCAGTCAAATCAGGACACCTAGAGGCATTGCTATGCTACTGGACCTGTCTTTGGGTATTTGTTTATCAATGGGGCAAATTTGCAATAGCTTGTACCAGTTATGGTCTATTTACAAAACTCCAAACATTCATTGAATGATTGAGACATTTGTAACACCTTAGATATTGGATGGGTGGTTTGAGAAATGCGAGGGTGTCCCTTACGGGACATTTTTCCTCTATTCACAGGTTTTGCTTTAAATGTATATTTAGTCGTTTGTCTTCTTTAGTTGCTAGTTCAATTGAAGTGTATATGTAGTTTCCTTTCCTGCTTGAGCTATACTTGGGGAAGAGGCTTTTTCTGTCATTTAGTTTTGTACCTTGTTGGTAGTTATTAATGCAAGCCTTTCTGCTATTAATTAACCAAGTGTCAATTCTTAAAGCACTAGATTTAAAAATCCGCTTTTAAGTGCAACCCTGTTGCTTCTTAGGGCAAATGCCACCTAGTCTTTGCCTGCCCGGCAGTCTAACTGGCGTTTGACTGCACAGGTTGCCCAGTGAGCTGGGAGGTCAGGGTTTGAGGGAATCAGAACTGGAGTCTGAAGAAGTGCTGCTATATCTTGGCTGAACACAGCAGAGGCAGGAGAAGCACTGTATCTTGTCTAACCTCCTATCAGGCTGTTTAGGCCACATCCCAGTTCAGCTCCTCACAACATGTCCTGGAAACAGAAGCATGGCAAGACAGGTTGCTTTGGTGACAGCAGGGGCAGTAGGTGCAAGGCAGCATCATTAAAAGACTCTTGCAGCATCCTGCTTGAGAATAACTGCTCTAACTAGATCAGATGTAGATTAGAGTAACCTGGGGATACTCCAGTTTACCTTCACTTAGTGAAAAGTGATATAATTAAACGGTTCATTACATTTGCATTTTCTTTTTAGCATGTTGATCATTATTCTAGAACCAAAGCAATAGCAGACCAAATGATACTTGCTGCTAATGGAATCCCATTAAAAGGTATGCTTAAAGTATTAATTTTCTACTGTCATTAATGCACTTCAAACTATAAAAGGTATGGGCACTTGTACATGTGATGGTGGGACCATGTGCACGTGACAAAAAGTGACAAGAAATCATTATTTGTCTGACATAATGGTATCCCCGTGTACACATGCACAATTTCTTTTTGTGTTCAAATGTATTTGAGTATGGCAACTTAAACTATCTCAGATGTATTTTAGTTTGATCAGGGAAAATTGTCCCATTGTGGATAAAAACAACAAAAAAACAAAAACCATGTACATGTCTGGTGGCCAGTGAAGGTGGTGAGGATGGTGCACGGGATGCTGGAAGCCCAGGTGGGCTCACAGAAGTTTAGGCTTGGTGGGCTTCCAGCACCCCATGCACAGCCCCCACCTCCTTCTCTGGCAGCCAGTACACCTAGCTGCCCTCCTGCCACCTTCCCACACTGCCCCAGGGGCAAGCCAGCCCATTCCTAGGCAGTCCCAGGTGGCGGGGATAGTTCACAGGGCACTGGAAGCCCGCCATGCCCGAGCTTCCCTGAGCATGCCCGGTCTTCCAGCACCCCATGCACCATTAGATTAGGTCAGGTGCTGCCCAGTTAGCACCCTGCCCAGGCAGTCCAAGGGGGTGCTGCTGCCACCACAGAGGAAAGCATCAGGCCCATTCACAGCCCAGGGGCTGCACGACTTGGCAGCAGCTCGCTTAGGCAGGCTCCTCTGGGGGGAAAAAAGTGCCGAGCCCGATCCTTTTTTATTTTTCCCCCTTGTGGGGGCTGCCTGCCTCTCCCACAGGCGGAGATGAGCTGCCAGCAAGCTGTGAGCTGTGGGGGGTCCTGGACCTTCCCTCCACAGGGGCAGTGCCCCCCCTGGGGCTGCTTAGATGGGGTGCTAATAAGTGGGTGCTGCCCGGGGGGGGGGGCACTACCACCATGAAGGGAAGATCCAGAGCTGCCAGCAGCTCACCCCCCCAGCCATGGGAGAGGCAGGCTCTGTGTGTGTGTGTGGGGGGGGGGGAATAATCGGGGGCCTCACTGCTTTTTTTTTTTTGTTGTCTTCTTCTCTCTTCAAGCAGAGCCTGCCTGCAGCAAGGAGGGGTGAAGTGACATTGGGGCACCACTGTTCCATCACAGTGACAGGAGCCCCTAAATTACAATTAAAAACCCACCATTTCAATTTAAGGGAACTAGACGCCCCTCACGTATACAAGTGCCATATGGTGCTTTTCTTCTCTCAATAAATGTGTTTAATTTCTGTGTATGAGTATTCAGACAGATAAGGGACCATACACAAATGATAAAAAGGGATAACAAAAGATTCAGAAAATTTAAACTAAGTTAATTATAAATTATGGTTAATTTGACAATAAGAATAGGATTTGCTCCTTTCTTCCTTCCCAATGTTCATTATTCTTACTTAGACTAGTTATCCCACTGAGTTTCCTTATAGATGCAAAGTCTCCAGAAGTCTGACCACTAGCCTCATCCTCACAAATCCCCCCAAATTTACAGGTTTCCAAGAGAGCCATTGCTTGTTACTTAGATTTTACAATTTCTGGTTCATGCTAGTTTCTAAATCCTGAGTGCCTAGATAGCAGTTGCCACCCTGAATTGTTTGTTCATGCTGAACTTTGGAAGAAGGGTCTGATCCTTTGTCTCTTTCTCATGCATATCTCACTGATATTATGCATTGCTGGGGCTCAACAACACATTAATGTACTGTACTTGGAAACAGAAGCTGAAACTTTGTAATAAGCTAATGCAGAGGGTATTATTTAATAGTTTCAATACAGAAAGCATATTACACCTGTTCTTTGTAGAGCATATTGGTTACCTATTATTTGCATGAGGAGTTTAAAATATTAGTTTTGACCTGAAAAGTCAAAACTAATTTGGAAGCTAGCTGCTTTAAAGACTGTTTCTATCCCTATGTGAAGCTGTAATCAGTGGAGGAATAGCTATAGCTAATCTGGGATGTTCAGTGTTCTGTGTTTCTCACAGCTGTGGATAGGCCTTTATTTTATAAATCTAAGTAAATAATTAGACTGTAAGGAGTAATATCTCCAAATTGGGACGAAGCATATTGTTGAGGAAGTCTCTGCTAGTACCTTCTCCATTCTGTTTTCATCCTTCAAAGTAAAGGCAGCAATTTTCACAACTATGAAATTAATTTTTAAAGGAGGATGAAAACACCTTCCTTCAAAGAGAGTTTCTCACAGAATAGCTAGCCTATTTGTCCTTATGCTTCCCAAATATACAAATACAAACAATATACATGTGATACCTCTCATGTAGTAAGAAAACCTTTTCATTTGATCTCCTAGGAGGGGATAAGCTCCATACATGTGTTATTCGCCCACCAGGCATCTATGGACCGGAAGAGGAAAGACACCTGCCACGAACAGCAGTATGTATTGTATAATCCGATCCAGAGTATATTATAAGAAGTTATACCTGTACTATTTTTCCATCTAAAAATTAAATGTACAAACCAGTATCCTGATTACAGATCAAGGCATTGGAGTGAGATTCATAAAGGTATGCAGGTGCCTAGAATAGGATTTAGGTAGAATTTGGTCTTGAACCCACTCCAGTACAGTAGGAGGGCTGATTTGTCTTTCCCAGCTTCCACACTGCACTGGAGCCTCCTGATCATATTACCTTCATGGAGCAGTTGGATGTTAGCTCAACATGTGTTAGGTAATATGATATGGAAAAGTCCTAACATTGCTATGTTATAATGGCACTTAGCATGTTTTATCACTTGAACACTTGGATGCTAGCATTTTAAGTCCAGTTAACATGTCTTTAGGGTGACAAGGCTCCAAGAGAGTGATACCTAGAAACCCCACCTAACTGCATTATGCTCCCAAGGTATCTTTGGTGACTTAGCTTCTGGTAAAAACCTACTTAGGTGTCTGAAGTTCAAGTGTGTTACTAGAGATTCTGCCAATTTAACTGAGCCAAGCATTTAGTTAGGCATCTATGCCTACCTAAGAATGTTTGAAATGCACAGATTAGGTATCCCTTGTACCTTAATCTTTGGAGGGACCCATGCCAGTAGTTGTGCTGTGAGCACACCTGACACTCAAGTGAGTGAAAATGGTTGTCATTGTTGAATTCAGAACAATGGATGTGACTTCTAAAGGCCTAGGAATCACAGCTGTTACCCAGGGAATGGAAGATCTGGGTTCTAAGCTCTCTGCAGCTTCTAGAAGTTCAAACCCACAGCTTTGACTTCCTAGAAAAGTACCCAAATCAGCCTATGAACTGTTGGGATGAAGGTTCTCTCCTGTCCTCCTGTTCAAGCTGTTTCACTGTATAGAAAGAAGTACAACATTCAGTATGCAAGAGCAAGAGGGAACCTGACTCTCACCCAGTGAGGAAGGCATTCTTATGACAGAAGGGACTTCTGAACTCTGCTCCCACGTTCTTTATGCATTGTGCACTAGAGCCATCAGATCAAATACATAAACACCATTTGAAACCGGAGTCAAAACTCAGGACTTCTCCCTCCCTCTCAGGCAGGGGCTGGGAGTTATGCTCCCATCTTGCTTACTCTGTCATGCCCATGAATCTTGCAGTCCTTTCTACACAGCAGCCCAGCTTCCATAGGAGGAGTGTTGGGAGCTCTCAAGCCACCCACCCTAGCGTTTGCTGGCCATAAGGACAGTGTCCTGGGAGGTAGGACATGTGAGTCTGAACACCCTTAGGAGAAGGGGGCCCTAGAATCCATAATTCTGTCACTAGGCTACTATATAAAAGGTGAACCCTGCCACATCTTAAAAGAGTGAATCAGTTGCCTTTACATGAAGGAATGTGTTAGGTCTAAATCTAAGTCTAGATGCATGATTCAAGTTGCAAATCTCAATCTCACATAGGCACCTAACTCAAGAGGGGAGGTAGGCATCTAAATCTGGAAGAAAAGCAGTGTTTTAGAAACATTCCATTCCTCTTTCCTATTGGCTGTTTGAAGTCGTGTGTCATCGTCCCCCCCCACCCTCCGATTCACAATGCTCAGCTAAATCCCGCTCCAGTGTACCTCCCTCCAGGGAACAAAGAGTATACCTACATTCAGGGAGTAGGGAACTACTGGAATTGCAATTTTGTGTTTTTCATGGATGTCACAGGGCACTAAGTTGTGCCTGCTCCTTTAAGGACAGGAGCAGCATAGCCAGGGGGCTCTGCAAGCTAGGCAGTGCATCACAGCTGTGGATTACCTGAGCAACAGGCTAATCTAATTAGCCAGCATCTGCAGACAGTCAGCTGACCAGAAGGAGGCAAAGGCCTGAGCACATATAAGCCCAAGGCTGGGGTTGGCAGGGGTTAGTTCTCTGACAATAGCCAGGGGAAGGAGCTCCTGCATAAGGAAGCTACTCGGGGACCTTTGGTGGCCTGTTCTACTGCCTGCAAGATTAGTAAGGCTCCAGGACCTCATAGAAGGTACCCAGGGCTAGGAGGCATGCTATACGAGGTGAGAAGTTTGCGTTCTTAAAGGGGCAGAGCACAGTCTCTTTTGGTTATTGTTATGTTATAGCCCAGGGGCTTATGTTTGTTTTATTGTTTGTACCACAGGTTTGGGATGAGGCTGTAAGGGGAGCTTTTGGAGGCTTCATTAGCACTCAGACCTGAACCTGTTCAGCCTCAGCAAGAGGAGGCTGAGGGGGGACCTGGTGGCTGCCTACAAAGTCATCCGGGGG